ACTGTGGCTATAGGTTAATTTTAGACTGTAACTGAAAAAACTTAGTTTTAAAATAATGGCTGTTACTTTGAAAAAAAAAAGTTAAAGCCATACTTTTCTGCTTTAACAAAGTAGAGAGAAGAATGTGAGTATTTTAGAAGCAGTTTTTTAGAAGACTTTTAAATCAATAAAATATAATTGGCTAATTAAGGGTTTTTAAGACTTAATTATTTTTTAAGTCCGTACAGATTTTAAAGTTCAATTTTCAAACAGAGCCTAAATATACTATAAAGATAGATCTATATCAAACTCTTCAATAAAATTTGTAAATACTTAGTAAATGATCTATATCAAACTCTTCAATAAAATTTGTACATCTTGGTAAATAATAATTATGTATAATGATTCTAATGTAAGAATTGTAAAATTTGAGAATACTTATTTTTAAAGATACAAAGACTTGCAGGATACTTGATTTGCCCTATTACTTGATTCTCCAATTTGATTATCTTTTTCTGCATTTTTTTTTTGTCTACAATAACTGATCCAAGAATTTTTTTTCAATATTTTAAAAAAAATATATTATAAAATATATTAAGTGCATGAATTAATACTAATTAAATGATTTACAAACTTTTTTTTGCATAGAGTTGACAATTTCTTCGAGACGTTCATATTGGTAAAGGTGTTGTTGAGTTTGCCTCAAAATCATTGGCCTTGTTACTCAACTCAGTCAACTTGTTCGCCTTTCTTCTACCATAAGACATGTTACAAATGGTTGTGTGTATTTTTATTTTTCACATATTATTATGTATAAATGCTTTTTAAGAAAATTTCAACATATATGTTAAATGGAGCACCCATTCAAAATTAATTTTTATTGAAAAAGACACCTTTAGAAAATACAATTTCTGCATAATTATGATAATATTTTTAAATAAAAATGTATATCTGGTCACCTTCAATAGATGTCTAGACTGCCAAGCAGAAGACTAAAAAATAAATCTAAATTGGTAAAATTAATAGATTAATTTTCAAAAAATTTAAGAATTAATGATTGATTATTTTTAACAGTATAACTATTTCTTACAACTATTATAAATCGAAGGCTAATAATCGGCATTCTTCTAACAATAAACATAAAACTTTTAACCAGTTTTCTGGGTCTTCACGTCATGTTTTTTGTAGGAGATTTGCCCGTTAGAGGCCAAAAAATCTCCTAAACAGTTTTATGTTAGCGTTGGATTATAATGGTTGTAAGAAATAGTTACACTGTTAGCTACTAATTTTTACAAATGCTATAGGAGAAAAATAGTAAATTTAACTAAACTTGACATATTGTGCATATTTTTTCACTATCTTTTTTTTTTTGCTTTCTAAATTGATTTGTTAAGTATTTTCCTAAATATTTTTTAAATATTTGTTAAATTAAGTTTACCAAAGTTGGATTTATTTTTCAAAGAACTTAAACTACAGAAGTCAAGAAATTTTAAAATGGAAATATATCGTAAGTGAATTTTTTATTTTTTTGCTTTCGATAACCATTAATAAGCAGTTTTTGTCTCGGCTTCCCCGCGTCAAATAACGAAGCCGAGTACGAAGCACTTATTGCCGGGTTACGCCTTGCCAAAGGAATCGGCGCCGAACACATCCATGCCTACTGCGACTCTCAACTTGTAGCAAACCAGTTTCACGGAGAATACAAAGCCAAGAACGATCGCATGGATGCATATCTCAATGTCCTCAAAGACCTTGCTTCAGAATTCTCGACCTTCGAACTCACAAAGATACCGCGTGACGAGAACGCCTCCGCTGATGCTCTGGCCGCTCTCGCAACTAACTCTGATCCTGACCTCTGGCGTACAATTCCAGTTGAGGCAATCGAACGACCTAGTATCGAGCCCACCTCCGTATGCAATACTATCACGAGACGACGCGACTATGAAGCTCATCTCAACCTCGCACCACCCCTCACCCGAAAGAAAAAGACTAAGGAAGTTGTCACTGATCTCGACGTTGATATGAATGAACAAAGTGACAACGAGTCTAATCAAGACGACGAGTCTGAAGGCCAACACGTCCCAATCGACATCGAAGCTGAGGGCGACGACGAGCCAGAGGACTGGACTTTGGAAATAGTTGGATATTTTGGCGATGGAACGGTCCCTGCAGGCAAATGGGCAGTTCGGCAGCTTAAGGCTCGAGTAGCTCAATACGTGGTCACCAAAGACACTCTCCTTAGATGGGATGCATCTGGCACACTTTTGACTTGTGTTCACGGCAACGACATCATGGAAGTTATGTAGAAAGTGCACGAACGAGAAGGAGGGAATCACTTTGGAGCTCGCTCTTTAGCATTCAAGATCAAAAAAGCCAGCTATTACTGGCCCACTATGCTCTCGGATTGCGAGAAGTTCACCGCACGATGTGAGAAGTGCCAACATCACGGCCCGATGATCAACCTTCCTACCGAACTCTTGATGACCTCTACCGCACCATATCCCTTTATGCGCTGGGCAATGGATATCATCGGCCCGTTTCGCCGATCTACAAGCCAGAAACAATACGTTTTGGTCGTGACCGATTATTTCACCAAATGGGTTGAAGCCGAGGCGTACCCCGAGATACACGCCATCGACGTCAAGAAGTTTGTCTAGAAGTTAATCATCTGCCGGCACGGTGTCTCATATGAGATCATCACGGACAACGACACTCAGTTCACTTCCATAATTTTCACCGACTTTTGCGCCAAGTGGAAAATCCGCCTAAGTTTTTCCACTCCGAGGTACCCGCAAGCCGAAGTCACAAACAAAACCATTATCGGTGGTATGAAAAAGCGACTTGATACGGCCAAGGGAACATGGGCGGACAAACTCAACGGCGTCCTATGGTCTCACCGAACTACGCCGCGACGTTCTACCGGTCAGTCACCTTTCTTTCTCGCGTATGGTACGGAAGCTATGTGTCCTACCGAACTCAACATTCCTAGTATCGGCCGAACTATGCTCACTCAGCAACCTAACGTTAACAAGGATATGATGCTCAACACAATCGAATTAGTCGAAGAGCATCGCGAACGAGCGTTACTCAGGATACAACTACCAACAACTGGCAGCTCGTTACTACAACAAAAAGGTTAAAGGCCGTCACTTCGAAGATGGCGATCTCGTACTTCGCAAAGTTTACCAGAATACCGAAGAAAAGAACGCAGGAAAAATAGGTGCAAACTAGGAAGGACCATATCAAGTCATCAAAGTCGTTAAACCTGGCGGGCCAATGAAGCTCGATGGAACCCCGATCTTGAGATCCTGGAATTCAATGCATCTTAAACGATACTATTACTAGATTGGTTCTCCGATCTAAAAAAAAAAGCCTCCGAACTACTCAGTTCTGAGAAAACACCCGTTGTACTTAGAACTACGAAGGGCTTGGTCCCTTTCAAAAGGGTACGTAGGCAGCTTGTCACCGAGTCTAGCTATAACATCAATAAAATTTTATTACGTAAAAACGTCTAAGTTTTAGTTCTGTACTCACGAAATACCGAACTTCTACTTTACCCACATTGACTTACTAGCTATTTGTTCGATAACATTCCCCATGAATGCAAACTTAGAAAGCCGAGATCCGTCTCGCTAACACCCACACGGTACCGTGGTAAACTCCACATTATAAAGCCGGGGCCAGTCCTGCACTAAAAATTCTAAGTCACCGAGAACAATAAGCCGAGCCGATCTCACATACTTAGGTTCGACTTAGAAAACCTTGAGCTCGTATCGTGCATTCACTAGAGTTCGACCTGCTCACTCTTCCAGTGCAATACGACTCACTTGGGTTCCCCAGGCCGAGCTCCAATGCTTGAACCCAAAGCCAAACTCCTCAGATTCGCACCATAAGCCAAGTTTTTAACACTTGCACATATAACCCGAGTTAACGCAACTCGCCACAGAAGAAATTAAAAATCAAGTTCGAACTAAAACCGATCTATTACTTAAACAGAATATCAAAATATAGATAAATAAAACCCACCAAGGGCAAACGAGTTCGAAAATCAAAACCCACCGAGGGTTAAAAAAACATATAAAATAAAAAGTCCCATTAAAGGACAATTCAGTTCGATTCAAGAGAAAGCAAAACAAAGAGACTAAACAGTCTTAGAAGCAGCGGTTTGAACCGCATTGAGCATATCTTCGTTCGAGCCGAACTGCTCGACTCCCACTTGGTCTTGTCCGCCTCCGATTGGATGATCGGTAGGAGCTTCTTCATCAGCCTCTGGAAGTGGTGACATCCGCTTGTCCTCTTCAGTAAGGACATAGCGTCGACAGAGTTAAACTCTTTCAGCGCTGCTGCGTGCTTCGCCTCCAGCTCGGCCACCATCTCGGGAGGAACCTCGTACAGACCTTTGTTCTTCAGCTTTATGATGAAGCCGAGAACACCGGTGAGCTGATTCACCACCAAGTAAGGCTTACGAGCCCGATTGGCATCATCCAGACTTCGGATGACTTTCTCCAATCGCTCGCTAGCCTTAGTATGAACCTTCTTCGCCCGATCATTCCAGAGAGCAACCGAACCCTGCAACCGCTCCTTGTCGTGTTTGAACTCGCGAGATAAAAGGACTTGTGCCTCCGTCAGTTCAGCCTTGACCGCTTTGAGCTCCGAACTCTTCTGCTTCAGCAGGTCAACTGCGTTGTGAAGCTCGTCATTGATTTGGAGCTCGGTCGCAAGACGCGCGTCAACCATGGAGATTCGTTCCTCCAGCTCCGCAACCCTCATCTACTCGTCATACAGGGCAATTTCATACCCTGCGACCAAAGTATTGGTCTGAATAGCGAGCTGCAAGCAAAGACAAAATCAGAACTAATGGCTGAAAGAAATAAAAAAGGATAAACCAGAAAATTACCACGCCAGTCGTATGCGCGATTCCTTTGTACAGGTTCGGGAATCTCAGTTCGAAGATCTTCGGAAGACTCGGGACCTCGCTGGAGATCTTATGGTAGAGGTGGGCGCAGGCATCGATGTTGTCCTCAAAAGGGACCTCTTAGCCGGCTCTGGCTCCAGAGAGTGCTCAGCACAGTCTCTCTCTTGCCTATTTCAAGCTGATCCCGAGGAATCGCGAGGTCCGATGTCGCAGGAATCGGAGGATTGAGCTCGGCGGCAGCATCTTGGGCCCGAGAAGAACCTTTAATCCTCTTGATTTTCTTTGAGGTCTTCTTCTTCTTCAGTTTCTTTTGACCGGCTTGATCAGGTGAGTTCATGGCCGGCGGCAATTCATCGGGCTGCTCTTTGATCCCTTCGATAGTAGGGACGGGGTCTGGAACCGCATCGTTCGGCTCCTCCTCATCAAACAAGCTAAGGATCTCGGTAAGCGAGATCATGTTGGAAGTCTGAGTTCTTCTAGCTCGTGGCTTTGGTGCTTTCCGTTTAGGAGCAAGTCGAGGCTTTTTAGCTCGGCTCTTTGGCTTCAAAGGCTTTGGTTCCCTAACAGAAGCTGCAAAGAAAAGAAAAAAAAAATATGTAAGGAAGAGTTCGAATAGAAGAGGAAAAGTAACTAAGTAATTTTACCTGATTTCTTAGCTCGGCGTTGAAGTATCTCTTCCCAAGCTTCAGGCCAACGACGTTTACCGGCTTCACTGAAAGCTGCTTGGAATTCGGGAGTGAGCCCGGAATTGAGTAAAAGGCTTGGAAGGTGACGACCTGCGAAGATAGGCCAAAAAGAGTTAGAAAAATATGCAAGCAGAAATCAAAAGTGAAATGAGATCGTCTAAATCTACTGATCGGAATCTTCCACTCCGACTGAGTTGGGATGTCAGCGTGATTGACTGTGAGCTCGTTAATTTCAAGATATAAATATTGGGATTCCCAGTCATTGTATTAACTAGGTTTGATCTCGGTGACGATGTCTTTCCTTGGTTTGGCGTTCGCCGCAAAGTACCAATCCTTTGACGCGTGAAGATTAACCGAGAAAAGGTCTTCAAAAAGCCGGCTAGTTGGATCCTCATTGAGCTCGGTGCACAGAGTTCGGAAGCCCATGTAGTTCGTCACTGACGCCGGCATCATTTGAGTGAGAGCTACGCCTTGCCGGTTGCAATAACCAAGAAGACGGGAAGGAATCGGAGAGGTGAGCCCGTATTGCATGAAATAGGCCAGATATATGCAGAGGAAGCCCTCGAGAACGTCCCATGGACGATCTCCGACGTCTGGGGTGATGAAAACAGTGCTATCTGTGAGTCCGTGGGCCTCAAGAACGGCTCGAATGGTCGCTGGAAAAAGAGAAGAAGCAGGCACGTCGTGAGGGTGAACAACCTTTCGCTTTGGCATCGGTGGCAATGCGGCGTTCACCGAGTCAAGATTGTCTTTGGTATCGTTGACTTCGGCATCGTTTCCTTCAAGAGTCCTCCTCTCGGACTCAGCGACCTCCTCGATCTCATGATCACCGTCTTCAACATCTAACCCCACCCGAGCTCCGGTCTCACAGAGTTCAGTTGTTAGCTGTTCAGGTGCCTCTAGTCTCGGTTGAGGTCGGCTGCTACTAGCTCCTATTAATCTAGAATTCTTCCGAGTTAGAGTCGGTGGATTGTTTGCTGTCTGAGAAGAGCTCGACGAAGAGGAGCTTGGCTCCGAAGGGTCACGACAATCCTCTAGAAGAATTTGGTTGGAAGAGGAGTTAATCGAAGAGTCGGAAGACATTTTAGCTCGAAAGGATGAGTTCGGAAGAAGATTTAAAAGGGAGTTAAAGAAAAACGAAGAACAGGATGAAGATAGATCGGAAAGTTTGAAGATGGATTGGAGAAATTTGAAGATTGATCGGAAAACTTGAAGATTTGCTGGAAAGTTCGAAGGATACGGCGGAAAAAACAGAGAGAACTAAGGAGAGCTACGGATGAAAATCTAGAGAGAGAAGTGAGAGCGGTGTACCTTATATATGCTGATGCAGAGATAATGAATGCGAGGTAGTTTCTTCCTTATAAATAAACAGTGGGAATTGTGGTTCCTCGATTTCCGCGAAATCCCGGAATTCGTGCGCTACATTAAATTCGAATTATGTAATGCCCGAGAAAACGAATCGACCGAATTTTCCGAGCTCGGTTTGTGACCTAATTTTGAGAAACAATCGAATGAGTTCAACTAAAACTAACCCCCTTTCGCCGAACTGAGGGGGGGGGGCTAACTGTTGGAGGTGAAAACCGCACCCCCGGTTTTCTCCAGTACAAACCGAGATCAGTACGAATTAAGCCCGGTTTACGAAGGAATTGTACCGGGAAAATTGGGCCGGGCGAGCTCTTGGGCCGAACATGGCCCGATAATCCGAAGTCGGTCGAAACTTCTCAAAAGAATCGAGAATTTTCCCGAGCTCGAATGAAAGAGGAAAGTTTCCGAACAGAAAAAGGAAACTTCCGAGAAGAAAGGAAACTGCCAAGGAAAAAGGAAAGTCTTTTCAGTCCCATATCGCAGAGAAGACCCGCGAAGACCGACTTAGAAGGCATATATAAAGGAAGAGGAATCGACACCAGAGCACACAAGAAATTCTCGAGAGACTTAAAGACTGAGAACTCAACGCATTCATTAGCTTCTTAGTTTCTTAAGTCTTAGTTCGTTTATCATTTACATAAACAAACTCAGTTGTACTTTCGACCGATCTAATAAAATCCGAGTTTTCGATCTAAATTACCGTTTTGTCCCTTGTGTGATATTCATATATTAACAATGCACAACTTGGAATACCTTGTTTAAACCATCGTTCCACCATGTTTGAACCTTATAGCTGGATGCCATTGTACGTGAACATGATGAGTTTGATCTTGCTCCCAGATTATATTCGATGAGAAGCAAGGCTGGTAATTGTCATGCCATGTCTCCAAACAAGGAAGGTGTTTTTCTTTGATTTATTCTCTACAGTGTTTTTCTTTTGTCTTTCTCAAGAAATAGTGTTGTATATCCTGTAGAAAATTATTTTTCTTATATCCAAAGAACTGTGGAGGCTCAATATCAGCTGCAATATAATTGGCAATGTGAGTATACCAAGGAGTGCGGAGAGATATGCACTATGAAGGGCCAGGCCGTGGGGGTGCTTTAGTGTTGTTATTAGGTATGACATTCATGGCATAGAAATTTTCTTCAGGGAGACGATCATTCATAGGAAGTGGTTCGTCAACCCTCATTTGGGAAAGATGAAGTGACACCATTTTCTGCGTCTTTCTTGTCTCGAATTTCCAAATCAAATTCTAGCTGCAAGAGTAATATGATCTTAGATAGTATCCTCTCCCTAGATCAAAACTCAAGCACTGGAATGGAACTGATAATCCTTACAAACAACAAGTGTTTCAAGGCGTGTGGAATTGATAAGACTCCAAAGGTTGTGGAAAAATCTTTGATGAATTTGGTTCAACTTCTTCACTGGATATGACACACTAGTCAAAGAGAATCGAGGTTTTTTTTTAGGATATTAAACACCAACAAGAGATTTGATCTTAACTTGAAAAGAGATTTTTGATAAAAAGATAAGATGAGTTTTCAAATGAGATGACAAAGTAATATAAAGAAGTAGAAGAGAGTTTCGGCTAAACCAATAAACACATCTCAAAATACAAGTTCAAGCAGTCTAAGTTGGAATTCAAATGACTCCATACACTCCTCTTCTTGACCGACTCCTTTTGGGCTGGACTTATATGCATAAGTGATCCAAATCTGCCTCATTAAAAAGCTATCACTAGAAAACTCATTGGGACAAAACTAGTGATGTACAAAGTTGGATCACAAGTCCACTAAGTATCTTGGACTTGGATCACAACAAGTGTGTTTGTATTATACTCTTTCCACTTTAGACATGTTTGATTGATGATGTTGCTAACGGCTTCTTTGAGTCTCCTAGATTTGGCTCTGGTCATTGGGCTGTTTGACACTTGTAATGCTTCCTCAGGTTCAAGCTCCTCCGCTACAAATTTCTTATCTCCAAGCTTTGGTTCAAGCAGTTCCTCCATGGTCACATCACCCCCTTGTTCTTGAAAATGGTTTGACCTCAAATCTGGATCATTTTAAAAATATGGAACTAAGTCAGAAACATTGAAACTCAGACTGACATTGTATTTACCTTGAAGGTTGAGCTGATAAGCATTGTCATTGATTCTCCTTATGACTTTGAAAGGGCCATTGATATTTGGCATGAGTTTAGACTTTCCTCAGCTGAGAATCTTTCCTTTCTTAGATAAACCCAGACTTGGTCTCTTTCTTCAAAGATAACCCTACGCTGACTCTTGTTTGCTTGTGCAGCATACAGTTTTTTCTTCTCTTCAATGTTCTCCTTAGCTCGCTGATGAATCTGTTTAACAAATTTTGCCCTTTTTTTATGTGTGTCTGCATGAGGGTGTCAAGTTTTAACCTAAATAAAATCAATAGCCGTAAGTGCACAGCTGATCGATTGTAGTACTTAGGGATCGAATCCACAGGAAAAGAGGATCTTTCCTGCAAAAGCCTTCGAAAGAAATATAAAATAAAAAAGTCTAGAACCAGGCGATTTTGTAAGGGTTTTGGTGGTGTCTTTAAAACATAAAAACTAATATTAACGACAAAATACAGGAATTAAAATGACCTAATAACTAAACTTAATGAAACCGACTAAAAACGAGAAAACGGCTAAACCTAATTGCTTAAATGAAAATCGATTAAGAGAATGAAAATGATAAACTAAAGCTTGAAATAAAATCGATGTAAATCTATAGAATAGAAGGCGCTGGGTTTCAGAGAATTTTTCTCCGGGGTATGAACGATTCAAAACATTGCTAGAGAGTAAATTTGATAAGATCTTAGCTTAAACTTTTCAAACTAGAGTCACAGACATATGAATACGCTACTGTCGTGATCATAGACAACTATCTCTCTCAACCCTGACCAGTAGGTTTCCACTCTGGCCCTGGAAGAGAAAAGATGCGTTATGTTTAAGACTCGTCAGCATTCACAAATCGCCCATAGGTAGGTTTCCACTCATATGTTTGTTTTGCTCTCCCAAGCTAGATCTGACACCAGATGAACACTTTCGTGTCACCAAGCATCTGGATCAGATTGTAGTTCATGACGCTACTCTCATGCAGTAAAAATAAATTCAGAAGAAAGAGTTCTAAGATTCGGCTTCAATAGCTCATGAATCCTCATCGAACATATGTATCCCCATCGAAAATCCCTTAGACCCAACAATAAAACTACTCAGACATGATGAACAAAATAAAAAACATAGTATTAAAAAGTAGAGCAATAATCGAAATTGAAAAAGAAAGAATAAGGGTTCAAGAGACAGATCTCTCTCTCCCTAAAAGCTAAAACTTAAAAAGTATTCTAAAACAATAAGAGCATATGAGGTCATACGAATTAGGGTTCCTAAAACATTTAATTATAGTGCTTAAAACATCTCTGGGCATCACTTAGGGTTTCTCCAAATGAGGGAATCATTTTGGGCTTCAGAAATGGGCATTCGATTTCGGAGTTGGCTGGCCGCGGTCGACAAGTGCGTGACCATGGGGAATGGGTGCTTGGCCGCGGTCGGGAAGCCTCTGACCGTGGTGAAATGGTTGTCCGCGGGTAGAAATGCTTGCTGGCTGGTTTACGGGACATCTTTCTCTTCGCGTATCTTTTGATTGAACTGTTGGATTGCCAAGCTGTAAAGTGTGCTGGAAATCTGATACTTCCATCTTTGAGATCTCCAAATTTGAGCTGGATCAGACGGTGAGAAGGCCTTCAATCGGGGGTGAACTTCTGACGGTTTGACTCTGAGCTGAAAATCTGGTCTTCTATCCATTTTGTTAAGCTTTTCCTGAAAAGTTCCCTGAAAAGAGTCTTGGAACTACAAATACTAGAAAAACGTAACAAAAGTAAGAAAGAAATTAAAAACATAGAAAAAGTATTTCAAAACGATCCATAAAAGTGGTGAAAATACGGTATTTTCGGAAATGCCTTTTAAAAAGAGAGAGACTAGAGGACGAGATTGTACCAAAATTTGAGATTTTTCTAAGGCAAACTGAGCTTCCTCTTGTGTTGAATCCTTCCGGGAACTTTTCTGGCAAATTGCAGGTCTCTGTCCTTGGTGACTGAAAACTGCGTCGTTCCTCTTTCTCTCCAATGTTTTTGCACTTATCTGCATATAAGACAATAGAAAACAAGAGGGCATGTGGTTTGAAAGAGGATTGGTTAAGGTGGGGAACTAGCTAAAGATGAACTAGCCATTCAAGATCAACAGAGAGTGGTAAAAGGATAAAGGAGTCCTGAATGTATGATTCGTTTCCCTGGTCTAATGCTTCAATGAGAAAATTAAGTCCAAATTAAGTCGAAATAAAACAGAGCTAGTGTATTCCTTCATCTAAATCGAAATCATTCAAATTCCTCTGGGGTACTTCGTTTCAAATGTGCTTAGCTACCGCCTAGTCTAGTCCTAAATCATGAATGAGCATGTCATTAGGAACAGTCTAAAGCACACAGTCAACTATCATTGATTCATGTTCACCATTCTCTTTTAAAACGTATTTTGTTTTGAAAACCTATTTTAAAAAACTTTAAGAAAAATGCAAAAAGTGTAGATAATGCAAAACTCATGAAAGAAAGGTGGTTAGAAAGGGATGAAATCCTCCCCCAGACTTAAATCACACTGTCCTCAGTGTGAAACAAGTCGAGATTGGATGAGAAAAATGCATAGATAATCGAAT